TGAGAGAAATGCGTTGACATTGCGAGAATGCCAGGGCTGTCACATGTATGTAAATGAAAGAAAAGGAAAAGATAAAAGAAAAAGTATAATAGGATAGATAAAATGAAAATGAAAAAGAGTCAATTCGTAACAATGTGCATGAACGGGTGCAAACAACTGAGGATGTAAAAGGCTAGAAGGCACATATAAATAGTTATGAAATTTTATCTGAAATTTTTCCTGCTCACCTGAAATGTGATGAGCGGGAGTATACATATCTAAAACCCCTTGTCCATGAGGGTACTACAGCCTCACCCCTCCAATCAGAGTTTTCTCTACTTCCTACTGTACGTCCAACACATTGTCATCTTCATCCTTGTAGGAAAAGTAGGCATTTGTGTCAGGTGGTAGGTAATCCCATAATGCCCCAATGACATCATTCTGGCAATCTGGAACATTGTATGGGACCTATGTTCAAGAAATTTACCCATGTCAAAATGACACAAACAAAAAGAAAAGCAAAATACAAAAGAATAATACAGACATGCATACAAGTACCTACAGCGCTAATATACCTAAAAGGGAATGGGCATCTAAAGTACTAAAAGGGAAAGAATAAAAAGAGAAAGAGTTGATCTGTAACAGGCAATGGCAACTCTTTGAGTTTGTGAATGATACAGGATATTTCAAGCACATACTTGGGACTTTACCGCTGCTTTGGGACCCAAAGAAGGACAAGGAAGATGAGGATTAGGTTCAGTCTGGGGAGAGGCAGTCTGGGCTGCAGCAGCTCCTCCTTTTTTTCTTTTTTCTCTCCTTTTCTTCCACTCTTTCCCTCTATCCTTCTCTCATCTCTGTCTAATATTTATTAGCCTCTCTATCTATCCCATGCCATGGTGTTACTACCTGGTATCACCCCCCTTTTATTAGTGATTACCTTGCTACAAGACACTCACTGCTCTGGTGGGTCTCACAAGCTTTTGTTGAACCTTTTCATGTTGTCCTCATATATATTTGATGTCCTTTCTTAACTGGTTGTAGTGCAATGTACCATATCCCACAGGAAAGCGGGCAATAAACAAGGATCAAGAAAAATTTAAATCAAAATCAACATCAGGAATTTTACAAAAACAAGTTACTCGCTCCCTGGCTGGGAGTCGAACCCAGCTTTCGCGCGTCTAATAAATGACAGGCGCGTGTACTAACCGATATACTACCAGGGAGTTATCATTGTGTTTGAATATATACATATATACACAGAAATGTCTTTTTCGTACATCCTGTATTCAACTGATGCTATGTAGGTACACCCGTTTCACTTCCCCCTTCTGCAAGAACCGGCCGTATCTGTGCAAGTGAAGCTGATTCGGTCGTTGTATCTGCTATTGACCCTGTCAATTTCATCATATTTGGTGAATCTACCGTGGTCATTGTACCCGCTCTTGAGTCTATCGAATCCGTTCGTGGTTGCGGTTGCATTTTCACAGTCGACTGCGAGTTGATGCCGTCGATCAGCTTCACATCGTTATTATTTCGGCTTTCGCGTTCAACCTTCTTATGTTTGAGTTCTTCTGCACGAGCTTGAAGAGCTTCAATCTCTGAGGAAAGTTTGTCCTGTAATTATGGAGGAATGAAGGAAGCGATGGCGATGGAACAGAGTATGACGAGGGAAGTTAGATGAAAAGTCTGTAGACAAATTTAAGCAATCTATCATAAACAAACTCACTATTTTGTCATCCAGTTCTTTCTTATCAAATATAGCGTATGGTGAGGTTGTTGGTTTGGAGTTTGGTTGGACGCCTGGTTAGAAGATGAGTATCAAGCAAAGACAAAACAAACGAGGAAAATGAGATGAGGAAGAAACCTACCAAACGAAGCCTTCACAAAAACCTCATTCATAAGATCATGATTACGCTTGTACCTCGTGAGAGCAAGCGTGCGCGTCGAGATCGAATCAACTTCATCTCCTGAATCGTCATCATCAAGCAAACTTGGACCACCTGGTGCACCTGCCGGCCTTCTTCCAAGTGGCACTCCTGCAACAGCAGCCCCCGGCGGAGGGATGCCTCGTCCATGAGGACCAGGAACAGGTTGACCATGGATGCCAGGAGCACTGGGAGGAGGAAGAGGACCACCACGTCCTCCGAGAGAATGAGTCCTCCGAGCTTCTAACATCTCCATATTGGAATTTTGGTGTGCAAGTAAACCTTGCGCTTGTTGTTGATTGAAAGCACCAGCTCCGCTAGGCATACCCATATTCCCGCTCATGCCACCGATTGCGCCAGGCATCCCTCCTGCTGCTCCTCCCATTGAGCCGCCGCCGCCGCCGCCAATTCCAGGTTGCATATTAACCATACCTCCGGGCATTCCAGCTCCCATTCCGGCAGCTACATTGGGCATGCCTCCACCCATGCCTTGTCCTGGGAAGGCTTTCTGGCCAAGCTTCTCTCCTGCGACGAACATCGGCGGCTCATTCACTTGTCTCAGCGGATACATCCTTACTGGCTGATTGGCTACCGCTGCGGGTATAGGAGGTCCATTCGGCCCTCGAGTATAATGTACAACCCATAATTGGGGCATTGCTCCTGGACCACCCATTCCACCGCTGTGAACTAGTCGATATCTCCTCCTGATCCTGGCAGCCATCGTCTCTCCAGAACCAGGAACGAAACCAAACTTGATTTCACATACTTCCAATTCTTTCGGTGATCCTTGGTTGATGTTGAACTTGTTTTCGGGCTCGGGCCAGCGGATGCCGTCGGTTGGGAAGGGTGTGTGTGGAGGAAGGAAGATAATGAATGTTTGGCCATCTGTGGAAATATTTGTTGTCCATGATTTCCGTTGCAATAAAAATATATTGAGAGCCCACCTTGTGCACGATCAATCCACGACCACACAAATGGCATTGACAATGCCTGCTGTGCTCCTCTCAGTAGTAAGCTAACCGCGCCATCAAGCGTTACTTGGACGTTCATTAAAACATCCGGATACCGCAAGACCAGTCCTTCAGATTGGAGTTGTTGAATTTCAGAGAGCGTGAAGCTAGGATTCGGCATTGTGAGCTAGAGTTTCAATAAGTAACAGCCAGCAGCAAGGGCTAAGATTTGATTGAATGAGGAAAAAACTTGGAGAACAGATCTGGCAGAATGCTGAACTTAACCCTAAAGCTAACCCTAAAGCTCAAGTCTTCATAAGTAATTGTCGAACTATGGATTGATCACTTTCGCACTGCTGAGTGTTGGCGAAAAGTCAAAGACTAGATCAACGTCTACGTCTACTCCAGCCACTGAGTCAACATGTATCGTCTGTACACCATATTTTACTGATACCAAACACCAGATCAAACTCGTCCCAATAGTCTGCAACTTCGAGTACTTGTGCAGACGTTAATCGGAGCCGCGAAATAAGATATCGTATTTCATAGCACTGGGGCATTGCTGTTAGTAAAAACAAGACCTCTTGTCCGTCCTTGTCAACCGCAAAGAATGTTGAAAAGTACGTGTCTCGATATACCGGCCAATCGTCATCCATCCCTAAATCGATTTCTGGACCAGGAATTGGCAAAATGCGATACCAGGGCCAGTTGTCACTGATTAAAACAGAATTTTCTGTTCGGAGATCGGAGAGGTGCCAGTAATGGTCAAAGATAAAGTCAAGCGCAAGACCATCGCGGAAATGGGGGTGAAGAAGGAATTCGAATGCGGCGCCGGCGCATGAGGGAGAAATGGTAGCGAAAGCCTCTAAGCAATATGGTGAAAGGTGTTGCGCAATATCAAGAGTGCTTTCAGGAGGAAACGCAATAATTTTTAAGGTTTGTGGATGGGATTCTGCGACGCTGATTGGTGATAGATTGCATTATTTGTGAAGACTCAAGAGCTTGTCGTGTAGAGTGTTTTCATACAGAAGCTGTCCAAGGCGAGCCGAGGCAGTGATGCCTGGTGTATCCTGCCTATCATTGTGATCTTCAGGCAAGAATCTCAGGTAAGGCGTGTGTTCCAAACGGAATTGAATATCATCCTTAATTTCAACCACCACAAAGCGTATAATCGAGATATGGTACAGAGACATAATGGCCCCATAGAACGCAGCTCCAATCTCTTTGGTGGACTTTGCGCCTTTTTCAGTCTTGAAATAATTCGCGGTCTGTTGCACCAGCTTTACAATTGCAGCCTGTAACAGAAACTCATCGTCAAGGCGAGGAACAGTCAACAAACAGAATTCTTCATCAAGTATTCATCTCCAAGGCCTAGGTGAATGGTCATGCCAATCATCATACTTATAAAGTTTCCTCCACTCTTCTGCAAACAGAAGAGCTTTGGTTAAAGTCTCGCAAATAACTCGAAGTCTTCTTGTGACATCTCTGATCAAGGAGGGAGAAAGGACTGAGCGTATCCCCAGGCCTGCCTGGTTGTCCATTGAACACATAGATCAGGCAATGAAGACTTCCATAATCTTAACTCGAGCCTGTTCAATTGGGCGTAAATTGACTGGTAAATCGAGTAATTTGTGTGGATCCACGACGAATCGTACATTGTAGCCACTGTAGGCATCTAGGATGTGGATGTCAACTTTCGCCGGTGGACGGAGCTTGAAACGATCCTTTTCGGGCATTCTGTCATAGAAGCAGATACGACTGTATGAGTCTTCATCTACATACATAATTATGGTATCAGTCGATGATGGGTGAAAGACCGACTGAAAAATGACAGATCACTCACCAATGTACGAAAGAAATTCGTTTCCGTAAGGCATATTCGAATCCTTAAGTCAAACAGCGGTTCCCCATCCATATAAAAAATATAATGATCCAGGCCGATTTCATAGATATACTTTACCAAAATGCCCATTGTCTGATGTTTCGGGGGTTTTTTTCATCACAGTAAGCCCGTGTATCCCTTCATCGGGGCTTCTGTGCCAGATGGCAGAAATCGTGTTCAGATAGACGGGAAAGGCTTTGATGTGAATCAACAATAGCGTACAGCTCGGCTTTCTTTGTCATCACGTAGAAATTGAACTCATTGACGTCGGAGGGTATTTCATTGGAGAAGTTGACACCAAGATCTGGCATAGGATAAGAGTCATGTCTGTGATGGTAAGTGAAGTAAAAGCCATTATAACGGTATACGCTGAAGCCCTGAACTTCCATTGTGAAACAATGAAAATGAGCGCTGACTGGTCCTAAGATAGGATTCTTCTGGTGGTGCTGGGAAGCTTTATATAATTCAGACCACCAGCCAAGCATATATAATAAAGTGCGACGTGACTCTGTACCCTTTTTGAGTTTCTACTACTCATGTCTTTTGCGAAGCACCGTACTTCAACCGACATCTTTACACAGAGTATCGACCATGGCCAAACTCTGAGTCACGACGCGGAGATTGATACTAGGTCCCGCTGGAATGTGGATGATTTTCGCCGCCGCTATCCCAACCTCTCTGCCATTTTCTCTCTTACTTGTCAACTCAAAGATTTTGACTATCATGGGGTTGACTTCATTGACTCCAGGAAAAGCCTAAAGAAGAAGACATTATTGAATTTATCCAACTCAATGAGCATCCGGCCATTTGTGTTCGTTTTCGGACCTCCCCCCATGCCCGCGACACGGGCACCCAGTTCGACCTGGGTGAAAGGACACCACATGGGTACAGTGCTTTTATGAGACCAGCTGGCACTGTCTACCTATACACCTCAATGGTCCTCATGGAGACAATGTTCCAGGTTCATGAGTCATTCCCAAATACCTTTGTCAGCGGTCAGGGTGAGCTTTATGCATACATCGACTCAGAACAGTGAATCATGATTTTCCGTGCTCCATCCCCTACAAATGGCAATCTCTTGGTGCGCTTCGAGGAGTAGTTAATGAGGGGACTACAAGTATGTTTGTCTACTTTCGCAAATTTACAGACAATGAGCCACAATACTTACAGGACTTGAACATATTCATCTCATTGTGCTATGTACATACTGATGTTGTAAAATTTAGTAACTTGAAAGGCTAATGGAGAATCAAATAATTATTTCTGTCTCTGAGAATTCGAAGCCACTTTACAGATATAAAGTGTAGCTAGCGTTTGGCTGAGACAGAGAATGGTCTGATAAATGGGCAGCGATAATGATTCAATACCACACTCAATTGATTCTGTGTTTATATACAGTCCGATTGAATTAAGGCGGATATCTGCTGGCTTCTGTAGCTGCTCTTGAGGCTGAACTTTTTCCGAGG